CCCCCCCCCATCAACACTCAGTTTGTTCTCAGTATTTAAGAGTGTCTTCCCTGCTGCTTTTTCAACCGAAGACCTATGTTGTCCACAGGGACTCTCCAGCCTGGTGAGTCCTGAATATTAATCCTTGCCTCCTCAGCTTAGCATGACTTAATGGATTTGTTATCGCTGATGTTGTTATTATTGTTTCAAACTTATTTATGCCCACTGGTGCCACAAATTACTACTTAAGACAGTCATGGAAATAACTTACCTTTTTACTTAGCAATTTTGAAATGCAGTTGAGCCTTAAACCATGTGTGGGTTAGGGGTGTTGACCTCCAGGCAATAAAAAATTCATATAGAACTTCTGACTCCCCAAACTTAACTACAATAGCTTACTGTTGACCAGAAAAGCCTTAGTGATAACAAACAGTCAATTAACACATAATTCGTATGTTTTACTCCTATATACTATGTTCTTACAATAAATAAGCTAGAGAAAACAAAATGTTATTAAGAAAATCCTAAGGAAAATATATTTACAGTACTGTACTACTTATCAAAAAAAATCTGCATATAACAGTGCAAACCCGTGTTGTTCAAGGGTCAGCTGTATATATCATTCATAGTGCAAACTATAGCCCATGGGCCAAATCTGAACACTGTTGTTATAAAGTCTTATTAGAACACAGCCATACTCACTCACTTATTGACTATAGTTGCTTTTGCATTATGTCAGAGTTGAGTCATTGTGACAGACTGTATGGCTCACATAGTCCAAAGTATTTACTATTTCATCCTTAACAGAAAACAAAAAACGATCCCTTATCCACACTAAACAAAGTAACTATAAAAAAGCACCCCGGGGACACCTGATTGGTTCAGTTAGTTAAGCATCTGAGTCTCAATTTCGATGCAGGTCATAAACTCGCAGTTCATGATTTCAAGCCCCACATCAGGCTCTGTGCTGACAGTGGGGAGCCTGCTTAGGATTCTCTCTCTTCCTCTCTCTCTACCCTACCCCACTTGTGTTCTCTCGCTCATGTGCTCTCTCTCTCTCAAAATAAATAACTTAAAAAATTGTTTTAAAAAGCATTCTGCCAGTTGGTACCAAAGGGTTTCTCCCAAGCTTTTTCAGTTTGGACATACTAGATCAAAAATCCAATTATCAATAGGTTGATCACTTAATAATTACATATCCACTCCGCTCACCAGATACTGATACAAACACATGCAAGACTATTAAGAATTGTATAACCTTAAAAGATAGGTATAGGCAACAATGCTCCTTGGCTAGTAGTTAAAGAAACCCTTCTCAAAAAAAATGTGCTAGAGTTGTCTGGTGACAGACAGTACCTACACTTGTGGTAAGAACAGCGTAACATACAAAGTTGTCAAATCATTAATTTGTACGCCTGAAACTAATACAATGTTGTGTGTCAACTACAATTTAAAAAAGGGAGAGAGCACTACACTGAGTGTGATGGGAAAAAGTAATCTCATCAGGGATAAAGCAGGCTTCCAAACAACCGTAAGTGAAGGCCATACTCCAACTGTGGGAAGCCATAAATGAATTCAGAGAAGCCAAAGAACTTAGATCAAATGAGAAACAGTATCCCTAGTTATCAAGGCCACTGAGAAAAGCTGTAACAAGCCGTGACTACAGGACATCAAAAAGAGAAACTGAGAACATATAGCTACCTAAGGAATTCCAGGATTCATATTATCTCTGAGAGTCTGAGCTTAGAATCCATATAGTTTTCCAGCCCAAAGCTTTAATTTTTGAAGTGACTGGGTTTAGCCCAGTTTCTGCTAATCTACTTCTCCTCTTCCCACAAATACACACACAATCAGTCTCTCATCTCTCTTCAACATATTCTTTCACATCTTTCAGTCAAAAACTGGCGAAAGTTAAACAAAAAAAGAAAAAAGATACAACTCATAAAAATATTTGCAACTTCAGTATTAAGTAGCAACCAAGATTATATCACACACATAATCACAGTACTACATGATAGCACTCTATACTCATGGGACTACAAGCAATGTGTAGGCTTCCTTCTAGTACACTGCCTAGCACATAATAGATACCCAGAAAATAAACGAATGTTAAATAAGCAGTGGTGTAAAATAGCAGTTAAAAGAAGTAGTATTAGATTAGCTAAATGCCTAAAAATCCCCAGGTTATCAAGCAGGGTTTTTTGCTTGTTTTTAATTTTAAAAATTTCGAATTGCAAAAGCATCTCAACTAGTTGCTAAAATAGATGATGAAAAACCAAAAGCTTAAGAATACCATATTTATATTTGGAAGTATTATACAAAATAAAGTTAGCAAATAAAGTTAATAAAAAAATTTCTCTAGATAGAATATATTCTAAGACTTTGATAAATAATTTAAGTATAGATGATAGAAGTTTTAAGAATATTTTGAAATCTAGTATATACTAAAATAGATCTTACCTGCTTTTTTAAGTTATCATTCAATTCTTTTAATGCATCAAAAGAGGACCTTAGCCTCTTACTTTCTTTATTTCTTTCCTTAAGAACTTCAGTTAAGTGCTCAACTTCTGCACTGTGCTGCTAGAAGGGGAAAAAAATCTGATTTAAAAATTAGGTGTGGATTCCATGTCACAAACGCTACTGAACACAAAGTAATTAAAAATTAGAACTCCTCTGGGCGCATGGTTGGCTCAGTCAGTTAAGCATCCAATTCTTGATTTCAGCTCAGGTAATGATCTCAACAGTCATTGGATCAAGCCCTGTGTCAGGCTCACCGTTGATGGACCAGAGCCTGCTTGGGATTCTCTCTCTCCTTCTCTCTCTGCCCTCTGTGCCTCATGCATGTGAGTGCTCCCCCTCTCTCTCAATGTAAACATTAAAAAAAAAAAAATAGAACTCCTTGAATCAGGACTTTAATCAATGTATTTAAGCATATATGACTAATACCACAATTAATTATAAAAACTATGTCATCAAACAAAGTAATAACTAAGCATTGAAAGCATTTGTTAAGTACTTACTAAAAAAACTATTTTGTGCTTCTGCTCAAAAGAGTCCACTGAAACTCACTAAAATAATTTCTTTCACACCATGGAATGATAAAACAATGAAGGGTTTCTGATCTTTTTTTTTTTAATGTTTGAGAATGTGAGTGAGTGGGTGTGAGAGAAGGAGGGGCAGTGAAAGGGAGAGAAAGAATCCCAGCAGGTTCTCTGCCTCAGTGCAGAGCCTGAGGCAGGGCTCAATCTCACAAATAGTGAGATCATGACCTGAGCTGAAACCAGAGTCAGGCACTTAAACCAACTGAGCCACCCTGGCTCCCTGGGTTTCTGATCTTCTTCAAGAGTCTGGTTAGCAATTCATAGCTTTATAAGTTAAAATTTAAGATTTAAGTTACCCTGAGGAATAAATATCCATAGATATGGAACTAATTTCTTAATCTCATAAAGTAGCTAATTGTTTACATCTCAAATTTAAAAACATATTAATATATCTGAGTCTTAAACTATTTGACTTCCTTAGTCAGTTTTATAAATAATTGAAATCAATTAACCTTCTAATCACATTTAAACGAGATAGCACTTTTTGATTTCAAGTACAAATACATGTCACCTTTTATTCTCAATTTATTCATAATGTATTAAAACAAGCAAATTTCTATAGGAAATAAAAAAATTGAATTAATTTCTTTCTTCCAAGTAATCACATAGGAACTATTTAAAAAAAGGCTGTTATCTTTACACTTCAGAATAGCAGACAAATCTAAAGAGAAAAAAAATCAAGAAGTCTAGTATGGAAACCTCTTGAAAATCCAAGCATTTCTTCTTTTGCCCTGTTTAAAAATCCAACCACGTGAAAACATTAGCTTTATGCAATTTTATTATTACATTAAATGATTCTTTAAATAACTTAGTATCTAACCACAAATACAGGTATTTCAAACATTAGGTTAACATTCTCATTGTCCAAATTTTTCCAAATCGAAAAGATGTTAAAAAATAGGATATGAGTTCCATTTCCGGAATGGCAAGATAAGCCCACTACATTCTAGTTCTGTTACTGATTACAACTGAAAACCTTAGACAAAACACAAAAAGTAACCCTAAAGACTGTAAAACGTAAACAGAAATACGGAATTGTAGCAGTCTTGCCCCAGGGCAGGCCCCCAGCACTCTGAAGTGCAGCAGAGCACTGTAGGCTGCTAAACTGAGAGAAACTCTGCCTTTACAGTCAGGGAAGCCAGGAAAAGGGCCACTGTGAACCTCGGAATGTGTGCAGTATCTCAGAGAAGAGACTCAGAAAAAGAATCTTTTCATTCAGGTGTACAAACACCTGTAGAAATCTGGCTTAACTCTAAGCATAGCACAGACAAAAGTGGCAAAGCAAAGGTGGAGAGATCAGAGTTCGGTTTAAAAATACCACCCACATCTCAAACTAACCCCCAATTCTGCAAGCATGGGAAAGACACAGGCACCATACTGAGGGTCTTGAGAACTGAACTGATTTAAACCATTGCCTGAGTATTAGAGTAAACCTAAGTGGCACAGGTACAACTCCAAAGCTTTGAAAACTGAACTGAGATTGGGTCACTTCCCACAGAAGGTGAGAAAGAACCCTGGCCTAAATCTAATGAGGATGGAATAGGGAAAATGGAGTATGAAGATCCTGAGCTCACCTCCTCTCATGAACACACCAAGGTTGCAACTACATGGACAGCAACTCCCTCTGAGAATGACCTGAAGACTAGCAGGACAGCTCTTTCACAGGTAAAAACATAAAGAAACAGACACATCAAGAAGGGTGAGAGATAGGGCTCCTGGGTGGCTCAGTGGGTTGGGCATCCAACTTTGGCTCAGGTCCTGATCTCACAGCTCATGAGTCTGAGCCCTGAATCTGGCTCTGTGCTGACAGCTTGGAGCCTGGAGCCGGTTTCGGATTCTGTTTCCGTGTCTCTCTGTCCCGCCCTGCTCACACACTATCTGTCTGCCTCTCTCTATCTCAAATATAAAAAAAAAATAATAATAAAAATAAAAGAATTTTTAAAAAAAGTACACAATCTTCCAAAACTGAATCAGGAAACAGAAAATCTGAACAGACCAATTACTAGTAATGAAATTGAATCAGTAATCAAAAACTGTCAACAGCTAGCTTCAAAGGTGAATTCTACCAAACATTCAAAGAGTTAATACCTATTCTTCTCTCAACTATTCCCAAAAAAATTTAAGAGGAAGGAACGCTTCCAAATTCACTCTGAGGCCAGGATTACCCTGATTTATTCCAGGGATGCAAGAATGGCTCAATATTCACACACCTATGTGATATGACACATTAAAATAATGAAGGATAAAAACCATATGGTCATCTCAACAGATGCAGAAAAAACATTTATCAAAAGGCAACATCCATTCATGATAAAAACTGTTAACAAAGTGAGTACAGAGGGAACATACCTCAATGTAATAAAGGCCATACATTGGAAAGCTATAGCTAGCATCATACTCAAAGGTGAAAGCTAAAAGCTTTTACTCTAAGATTAGGAATAAGACTAGAATGCCTACTTTTACCACTTTTATTCAACACAGCATTGGAAGTCCTAGCCACAGCAATCAGACAGGAAAAAGAAATAAAAGACATCCAAGTTGGTAAGGAAGATGTAAAACTGTCACTATCTGCAGATGACATTATATTCTATATAGTAAACCATAAAGAATTCACCAGAAACTATTAGAATATATGAATTCAGTAAAGTTGCAGGATACAAAATTAATATACAGAAATCAGTTGTGTTTTTATACTAATACCATAATAGCAGATAGAGAAATTAAGAAAACAATCATACTAACAATTGCACTAAAAACAATAAGAATACCTAGGAATTAATTTAACCAAGGAGGTGAAAGACCTTTACTCTGAAAACTATATGACATTAATAAAAGAAATAGAAGATGTCACAAATAAATAAGATATACCATGCTCATGGATTAAAACAACTAATACTGTTAAAATGCCCATACTACCTAACGTAATCTACAGATTGAATGCAATCCTTACCAAAATACCAACAGCCTTTTTCACAGAACTAGAACAAATAATACCACAAAAGACCCAAAACAGCCAGAGCAACTTTAAGAAGAACAAACTTGGAGGTATCATCCTCGCAGTTTTCCAACAATACTGCAAAGCTATAGTTATCAAAACAGTAGAGTGTTGGCACAAAAACTGACATGGAGATCAAGGGAACAGAACAGAGAGCCCCAAAATAAATTCACACTTATATGGTAAAGTAATCTACAACAAAGGAGGAAAGAAGATACAATAGGGAAAGAGTCTCTTCAATAAATAGTGCTGAGAAAACTAAAAAGCTACATACAAAAGAATGAAACTTTCTTAATTTAGGAAAACACTCTCTCATACCATATATAAAAATAAATTAGGAATGAATTAAAGATCTAAATGTAAGACCTGAAACTATAAAACTCCTAAAAGAAAACAAGGGTAGTAAACTTCTGGACATCAGTCTTAGCAATGTTTTTTTGGTCTGTCTCTTCAGACAAGGGCAACAAAAACAAAAATAAACAATTGGGGGGGAAAAAAACCACAACTGGGTCTACATCAAATTAAAAAGCTTTTGAACAGTGAAGGAAACAATAAAACAAAAAAGCAACCTACTGAACAAGAGAAGATATTTGCAAATTATATATCCGATAAATGTGGATACTGGTTAATACTCAAAATATATAAAGAACTCATACAACTCAACACCAAAATAAACAATTCAATTAAAAAATGCGAAGTGGACCTGAACAGATACTTTTCCAAAGAAGACATACTGATGGCCAACAGGTACATGAAAAAAATGCTTAATCCACTAAAATTGTCAGGGAAATGCAAATCAAAACCACAATGAGATATCACCTTATACCAGTCAGAATGGCTTGTATCAAAAACACAAGAAATAACAAGTATTGGTAAGGACGTGAGGAAAGGGTAACTTTGTGCACTGGTGGTGAAAATGTAAGTTGATACAGATACTCTGGAAAGCACTATGGAAGTTCCTCAAAAAATTAGAAATAAAAATACCATATGATCCAGCAATCCCACTGTTGGTTATTTACCTAAAGAAAATGAAAACATTAATTTCAAAAGATATATGCATACCTATGTTCACTGCAGCATTATTTACAACAGCTAAGATATGGAAGAAACCTCAGTGTCCACTGATAGATGAATGGATAAAGATGTGGTATAAATCCACAATGGAATAGTACTCAGACATAAAAAAGAATGAAATTCTACCATTTGTGACAACATGAAGGAACCTAAAGGGTATTATGCTAAGTGAAAGAAGTCAGAGAAAGACAAACACTGCATGATTTCACTTATACATAAAATCTAAAAACAAAACAAATGAACAAACAAAATAAAACAGAAACAGACTCCTAAAAGAAAGAATTGGTGGTGACTGCCAGATGGGAGGGGAGGAGGTAGGCAGTAGGAAAAATGGGTGAAGGTGGTCAAAAGGCACAAACTTCCAGTTATAAAATTAAATAAATCAGGGATGTAAAGTACACCATAGAGAATATAGTTAATAATATTGTAATAGCATTCATTATATAGTGACAGATGGTAACTAGTTTATCGTGGTGAGCATTTCATTATATATATAAAAGTTGAATCACTATGTTGTACATCTGAAACTAACATAAGGTCCATAAGCTATACTTCAACTTATAAACAAACAACTCAATTGGGTTGACTGCTTAAAAAAAGAAACATTCTCCAGAGGATTATAACCAGATCCAGAATCTGTATAATATCCACAAGGTCCCAAATATAATCCAAAAGTCACTGAACATGCAAAGAACAAGAAAAATGTGACTATGTCACAAGAAAAATACCAATCCTTACATGACCCAGATGTTGAATTTTTAGGTGTGTCCTATGAGGTAAATACAAATGAATGCAAATGGAAAGATAAAAATGCTCATGAGGAAAATTAAACATAATTTTAAAAAGAACCTAATTAACAATTTTAGAACATAAAATATTAGAAACAAAAAATTCACTAGATGATCTCAGTAGCAACATGGATATGCAAGGATAAACAATGAACACAACGACAGACAACAGATATTATCAAATCTGAAGAACACAGAAGAAATAGATGAGGAAAAAGGAGCAAAGCCTCAGCAGTTTGTAACAGCAAAAGACCTACCATATGAGTCACTGGAGACACAGAAGGAGGAGAAAGCAGTTGGAACATAAAAAATATTTGAAGAAATACTGGTTGAAAACTTCCCAAATTTGGTAAAAGACATTCATCTACAAAGTCAAGATGTTCAGGGAACCCCAAACAGGATAAACTCAAAGAAAAACATGTGGAGATACCTCCTAATTGAATTGCTGCTGAAAACCACAGATAAAGAAAAACCACAATTCTATTTACATGACATTCTGGGAAAGGCAGAAGTACAGGGACAGAAAATAGGTCAGGGGTTGCCAGGGCGGGGTGCAGGGAGCAGGGAGGGATAACTACAAAGGAGTGTAAGGAAACCTTTGGGGTGCTAGAATTATTCTTTATCAGAATTATGGTGGTGATTACAAGACTATATGCATTTTTCAAAACAGAATGAAATTCATTCTCTGTAAGTTACACAGATAGTAATGTATCTATTGATATGAAACAAAGTATACTATATCACCTAGATAATATTCTTGAGAAAAATATTTAACCTGAATAAAATCCTTAGCAAATCCATCCAGGGCATGACATAAGACTGCTGGCCTGGAATCTTCAAAGAAAGGTCTTACAAAAAGAAAACTGGTTGACTGCTCTACATTCAAAGAAACCAAAAAGACATAAAAATCAAATGTAATGTAAGAATTCTGTCTAGTTCTTTGATCAGAAAATAAAAACAAAAGATTTCAAGGCCCAACTGGGAAAGTGAATGTGGACTGTGTATTACATTAAATTATTCAAGTACCATTAATTTCCTAATATGTTAACCATGCAGCAAATGTCCTTATGCTTACTTAGGAGGCACATAGTCCTAAGATTAAGTAGTGATAATACTAAGGAAGTATTTAGGGGTGTTGAGTCATGATTTTTGCAAATGAGTTTCAAATGGCCCAGGAAAAAATACGTGGGGGGAAGGGAGGTTGGAGAAGAATGTGACAAAATGCTAAGATCTAGTGAATCTAAATTAAGAAGAAAAACACAAATTATATTACTGTGAAATCAAATGCTATATAGTTACCTCCTTTATAATCTGAAATCTTGTAAGAACCTCTTCTTCGACACCTTTAATTTTACTCAAAGCAGTTTCATGTCTGAAAAGCAGTTGTTCTCTTTCAACTAAAAAACGTTCCCGCTTTTGAAGTTCTTCAGCAAACTCCTGTTGGGCTGCAGTTTCACACTGTATTAAAATGTCAGATTCAAGTGTTTTTAGAAAATATATTCACAAACTGTACAAATTATGTTTTTATTTACTGAGGTTGTAGCTTAATCAAATGGTGTTTAGGACTACATGGGTACAAGTAAAGTGTGGATTACAGTAACAGCCAGACTAGCACAGCAAGTAAGCTTGCACAGAAATTCTATCTTGTTGCAAAATGATGTGACAACATAGTGAGATTCTACTATGAGGACTCTAGAGAATATGAGGTACAAAATGCATCAGTACTATGCAGAATAACCCCCTTTCCAGCTTCAATTCCATGTCGTACTTCAACTTCACCATCTGCTCTTTTCCTATACTCTCCGCCCCCTTCCCTTCTTGTCCTTCACTTGGACTGAAAGGCCCCAGCCCTACATTACAGTACTAAGCACCTTCCCAGCCTCAGTGCCGCACTACTCCATACCAATGGAGAAAACTCACACATCAGGAAAAGTTATACTGTTGTAAATTCATGGAACCTATATCGGATTCCAGAAATCATTTTATATTTTCATGATTCACTCTCTCTCTCACTCTCCACAGTGTTTATTTCAAGCCTTCTCCACTCTTTACTTTGAAACCTCACTTCCCTCCTACACCATTCTGTTCAGACAGCCTCATCTCTAACTTCACAGGGAATACAGAAGACAGCAGAAGATGTAGAAGCTTTCTGGGACCAGGCCTCCACCTGCCTTCACCTGCCTCAGTTCCAGCAGTTCCTGAGGGAGATATACTTAGCCTTGGAAGAGATGGATTCCAATGCAATCATTAACAGATGCACCACCATTGGTCAACTGTTAACAAAAACTTGCTAGAATTCTTTTATCTCAGCATGATGAAAGCCAGAATGTCCTACTATGATGCTTATATTGTTTGATTAACAAAGAATCCCAGAATTCTACAAAATTGAAACTTAACTCCTGAAAACAGAGTTGTCATCTCATATACTTTTAACATTCAGATTTAATATAAAAGAAATTGGTACTTTTACTCAAAGTGGTGGATATGCATCTGCAAATTACTATTCTGGTTCGCTTAAAAATATGGTCTCATTAGTGTCAGAACTCAGAATCATCTTAATGGATTTAACATTCACAGACAAAAAATGCAAACTACATCAGTGAGACAGCTATCAGATTATGGGGGAAAGACAACTCTGGGATGTTGATGATGGGAACGTAAATAAGTAGGCACAGCCACTTTGGAGAACAATTTCGTAGCACCCTGCACATTTTCTTCTTATAAGTTAAGGATACTTAAACAGAACTGTTTGTAAAGTATAAACTCCATCTTATATGTTTATACAGAAATAAATAATGGTGGTTTATTTAGAGGCCGAAATCCTACATGGCAGTTAAATAGGGGCGCCTGGGTGGCTCAGTAGGTTAGGCATCCAACTTCAGCGCAGGTCATGATCTCATGGCTCATGAGTTGGAGACCCACATCAGGTTCTGTGCTAACAGCTCGGAGCTTGGAGCCCACGTCCGATTCTGTATCTGCCCCTCTCTCTGCCCTCCCCTGCTTCTGTTTCTGTCTCTCTCTCTTTCAAAAATAAACATTAAAAAAATTTTTTTAATGAGTATCTTAAAAAATAAAAAAATAAAATGAATGAACTAGATCTACATTTTCCAAACACATAAATCTCAAAAATATAACAATGAATGAAGCAAAGAAACTACAAAAAGAAATCCACAATATATCATTACTTATGTAATGTTTTAAAACATTCAAAGCAATTACTACATGTGAATACATAAAAGTGCTAAAACAGGACACAACGGATCCACAGCAATTTCAAGGGAGTGCTTAATTCTGGGAAAAGGGAGAAGAAACGGGAGGGAAGAAGGCTGTTTCAACTCTAAGTGAAATACTCTACTTCTTTTAAAAATAATATATAGAATTATTAATAAAACATTAGCATTATGCAATATTAGTGGGTATACAGTTGATATTATAATATTCCCTATGTTTTTCTGTAGGTCCTAAGTATTTTATAAACTTTTAAAAACTAAAATACAGTGTTACCTAGTCAAATGTTGCAAATGAAAGGATACTAATAATAATAAAGGAATTATTTCCTGCACAAAAATTGAAGTTATACATTTCAAAAACACATTCAAAAGGAAAAAATAAATTTCAAAAAAACAGAATTCTCTCCTCCTCCAGTTTTGTTCCCTACCCTTAACAAAAAGCAGCATCATTTATCCAATAGCCAAAAGAATAAACCTACATTTCATTCTTGACTAAAACACTACTGAATGGGGTGCCTGGGTGGCTCAGTTGGTTGATCATCCAACTCTTGATTTCCACTCAGATCATGATCTCACAGTTAGTGAGACTGGGCCTTGCATCCAGCTCCAAGCTATCAGCATGGATTGTCAGCAATCCCATGCGTGGGATTCTCTTTCCTTCTCTCTCTACCCCTTCCCCACTCTCTCTCTCAAAATAAATAAACATTAAAAAGAATAAAAAGAATAAAACCCTACTGTACACCTTCCATATCAAAACAATCTCCAAGACCTACTGATCCCATCCCTTAAAAATGTTTAGACTCCATTCACTTCTTTCTACCCATCATCCTAACCCAGGACACCATCAGACTAGTCACATGTCTTCACATTCTGCCCTCTCTCTAGATCTCAGCTACAGGTGACACCTTTAAATACCTATGTGAATGACTCCCAATTTAGTTACACATCCAAGACCTTTGTTCTAAATGCCAAGCTTTTAACTATTATGTCTCCATTAAATTCTCAAACTTAATCCTCCAAACTAAAATCTTGATCTTTCTCTCTATATCTATTCTTCCAAGTTGTGCAAACCAGAAATATGGGAATCATCCCAGACACCTATTCTCTCCTATACCACATTCAACTCATTACACCAAGTCTAGCCAATTTTACCTACAAAAGCAATCTCTAATCTATTCAATTCCATTTCTCTGCCACCATCCAGTCCAAGTTACCATTACCTCTCACCTGCATGATTACAGTAGGATATCCTTCCCAGTCTCCCAACTTCCACACCTATGCCCCTACAACCCATTGATTTAATAAGCATACATTACATTAAGCAATTCCCCTACTCTAAAAATCCTGTTACTTAATACAATTTCCTTGAATGAACATATCATCAGGCTTCTAGGGCTTCTCATACTAGACCATCACACTCTAGTAGGGCTTATCCCTTACTCTTCCTCCACAGTTTGATTTAAATGTTACTTTCTCAGAAAACCTTACCTGACCTTTCAATCTATCCCAATCAGGTTTCATACTGTACCTATATAATTTACTTAAATTTACAAAAGTATAACTATATGAATGCTCACAATTGATTTTAATAAGCTATGTGTGGCAAGAACCATATATATTTTATTTACTTCCATACACTCAACACCAAGCATGCAAATACATATTAACAAGTGTTCAAATGTATGTTGAATAAAATCAAAGAGTAAGACACAATATGTACACTTAATAACATAACAGATGACCAAAAAAAATGTTTAAGTTAGATTCAACTATAAATTAAACTAGATTAATCCACTGCACTTCATTTTTAATTAAATATTTGTATCTATATTGTGTTTACAGTAAATGATGTGTCTTTACAAACTTGCTTATTCTTTTTTGCCTGCTAATTCTTTTTTATCTTATAAATTATTAGTAAAAGAATCTTTCCAATGTGCTATTTGTTACTCTGCCACTCATTTGCTTAAAAACCTGTAGCAGCTGGGACACGTGGGTGGCTCAGTTGGACTTCAGCTCAGGGCATGACTTCACCATTGTTGAGCTTAAGCCCCACACTGGGCTGTGTGCTGATAGCTGAGCCTGGAGCCTGCTTCCAATTCTGCCTCCCTCTCTCTCTCTGCTCCTCCCTGCAATGTGCACGTGCTCCCTCTCTCAAAAATAAAACAAAAACAGGGGTGCCTGGGTGGCTTAGTCAGTTAAGTGTCTGACTTCAGCTCAGGTCATGATTTCATGGCTCATGGGTTCAAGCCCCACATCCGGCTCTGTGCTGACAGCTCAGAGCCTGGAGCCTGCTTCAGATTCTGTCTCCCTCTCTGTCTGCCCCTCAGCTGCTTGCGCTCTGTCTCTCCCTCTCTCTCAGATGTAAACAAACATTAAAAATAAACAAAGACATTAATAAATAAATAAATAAATAAATAAATAAATAAATAAATAAATAAAAGTTCTCTTTAAAAAAACAAAGCACGTTTTTAAAAAGCCTGTAACAGCTAGCCTGGCTGTTCTTTCTTCAGACAGGCTGATAAACTCAGTCTGACAAATCACTCCTTTCCCAAAACTTCTCCCCTCCAACTCCTTGCCACCTGGAATGGCCTTCCCACCTCCTCTCTAAATTTTTTCTCAGTCAACTTTAGACCCTCCTTGAGCTTTTCTCCAGTGATTTTAGGCAAAAATAATTTTCTAGACTTTATAATTATAATCTGAATTATTTAGACAAAATGAAATACTGGGTTGTTCTTTTTTTAATACTAGTTTTTTAAAAAATGTGTAACTATTTCATTGTATGCAAAACATATGTACAATTCCAGCTAGAACAGTTTCAGTCAGGAATTGTGTATTATACATACTTTTGCTTCCTTCTGTACTCCCACCTAGTGGACACTTGATAAATATATGAATTACATCTTTTAGAAATAAAAAAATCCCAAAGAAGACAAAATATCAATGTTCTGAACTGAATTCTGGTGAGAAGTGACAAGAGAACTTCTTATGTATAAGTATTTAAAACAATGCATTAGGAACACTACTTCAAAAAGCACATATTAAGGGCACCTGGGTGGCTCAGTCAGTTAAGCATCCGACTTCAGCTTAGGTCATGATCTCACAGTTTGTAGTTCAAGCCCCACACGGGCAGACTCTCTGCTATCAGCACAGAACCTGCTCCGGATGCTCTCTCTCTCTGCCCCTCCCCTGCTGGTTCTCTAAATAAATAAATAAATAAACAAACAAACAAACAAAAAAAAAAAAAAAAAAAAAAAGCACATTTTACCAGCAGGTATTGTTTTATTTCAGAAGCAAGGATGGGATGGAAATAAAGAAATAAACATAAAACACCAGACAGTCTGAAATCAAAAAGAAATACCTGAAAAACACCATTTAGGGGCGCCTGGGTGGCGCAGTCGGTTAAGCGTCCGACTTCAGCTCAGGAATCGCGATCTGTGGCAGTCGAGTTCGAGCCCAGTCGGAGCTCTGGGCTGATGGCTCAGAGCCTGGAGCCTGTTTCAGATTCTGTGTCTCCCTCTCTCTCTGCCCCTCCCCCGTTCATGCTCTGTCTCTCTCTGTCGCAAAAATAAATAAACGTTGAAAAAAAAAATTTTTTTAATAAAAAAAAAAAAAACACCATTTAAATTTTTCCCTCAGCTATAAAATTTCCCTTCAATAACTGTAATAAATTTGTCCTTTCCCACCGTATCTCAACAGACTTACCTAAAATAATTTAAATGACATACTCTATTCAAATTTTATAAATGTTTGGTATTTAGAACATAAATACATCTGAATTCTAAATTCAGTTTTGAGTTCTTACCTGCAGTTTCTGATGTATTTGAAATAATTCATCATATATCTGATTAATCTGATATGGAAGTATTCTCTGCTTGTTTGGTACTTTAGATGTCTGATAGCTAACACGTCTCAGAGGACAGTCACTTGCATCACTACAACATTCAGTCCAATTTCTTGAATTTGCGGCCAAATTAGTTGGCTGGGCAACTGGTAAAAAAAATTATCAAGCTTATTAATTTACAGTTTTAAGTATTTCAGAGTAATCTTCAGAAAGTTACTTTAAATGTGAATTATAGTATTGTTAAAAAGTCTCCAAGTATTGGGCTGCCTGGGTGACTCAGTCGGCTGAGCACCTGACTCTTGATTTTGGCCCAGGTTGTGATCTCACGGTTGCGAGATCGAGCCGTGTGTCAGCCTCCATGCTCAGCATGGACCCTGCTTGGGATTCTGTCGCTCTCTCCCTTGACCCTCCTCCCCACTCATGCTCTCTCTCAAAAACAACAAAACAAAACAAAAAAAGAAGTCTCCAAGTACAGACTTGCAGAGAGAAAGAATTATACAATAAATGTGATAAAATGTCAACATTTAGAAGATCTGTGTAAAGGTCTTACAGATGCTCTTTGCTCTTTTTGCAACCTTTTTGTAAGTCTGAAATTATTTCAAAATTGATTTCAAAGTGCATGAAAACATTCATGTATTAAACCGCCTAGGCCAAGAAATGGAAAATTACCTCAGAAGCCCCCGATCACATTCCCTTCTCTCCCTTAAACCAAATTAACTACTAAGCCAAATATAGCATTAACCATTGCTTTACTTTTTAAATTTTTACTACTTGGGTAAAAAAAAAATTTAAGACTTTGTTTTGCCTATTGTTTTGCCTGTTTTAAACTTTATATAATATCTGTAATCATTTAATGATGCAATTATGTAATTTCTATAACCTCCTTTAAATATGTTCTTATGTTAATGACAGAATCAGGTCAAAATCTTCACTACTTCTTGTTTTATATTTTTATATGCCAACATTCTACTATAGGTCGATACGTGAGCTGTTTGTCTACATAGATGCTCTATGGACATGGCTCCTGTTACACGCATTCAAGAGTTTACCTAGGGTATATGACTAACAGCAACAATGCTGGATCACAGGGTACATGTACATGTTCAATTGTGCTAGCGATGCCAAAATGCTTCCCAAAGTGGTTATACTAATTTACTCTCCCAACAGCAGCGGATGAGCAAGTTCCTCTTGCTTCATTTCTTTGCCAACACTGTATTGTCAGAGTTTATTTTCTGTTAATACTGACAGCTGTGGTTTTAACTTGCATTAGCCTTCCTGAGAACACCAGTTTTAAGAAGGGGCCTCCTATTTTACTCCCAGAATGCCAGGTTTAAGAAGGGGGTCTCCTATTTTACTCCCCATCTTGGACAGACCGTAGGGAGCCAAAATAAAAATTACATGAATTTTTACAAAGAAAAAGTTTCACTTCACTCAGTCCAGCAAACACCCTTAAAGTGAAAGACACTTTCAGTGCGCTGCTTGCCTTTCTAGATTCCCAGATCACAAGCAGTAGCTTAAATATTCCTTAATTATGTTAACTTTTAAATATATTCACCCTTTATTTATTTATTTTTTTACATTATCCTATATTTTCAATTGTTTTTCAGGGGGAAAATCCACCATTTAGCCGGAAACACAAGTCCAGGCATAATTATTTTTCATTTTCCTCAAACTGAAATGAATGGAACAAAGAGGATGACAAAGAGCAGGAAGGGGGAAATGAGTGTGTGTTGCATACAATGTATGCCCAGAAAAGATGCACGGAGGCTATCAGAGAGGGAACAGTGCTCTAAAAGTCTTGCAGCCAAGAGGAAGCCATCTCTGGGTGCCCTGAAATCCTGAGAAAACTATGACATGCAGCCATGTACAGAGAGTTATTAAACAAGTGCCTGAAGAAGTCGTACCTTAAGCAATCTGCAGTAGTCTTAAAATATTAAGGGATTACTCAAATCTACCACAATATTTACTGACTTCCTAACAAATACTGCTATGAAAAAAAAACAAGAAATTATAAAAAGTACTCAGTTGAAAACTGTATGGAGGTTCCTCAAAAAATTTAAAACAGAGGGGAAGATGGCAGCGTAGGAGGACACTGGGCTCACCGCATCCTTCTGGTCACTTAGATTCCACCTACACCCGCCTAAGTAACCCAGAAAACCGTCAGAAGACTAGCAGAATGGAGTCTCTGGAGTCAAGCGCAGACGAGAGGCCCACGGAAGAGGGTAGGAAGGGCGGAGAGGCAGTGTGCCCTACACGGACTGGTGGGAAGGAGCCGGGGGGGAGGGGCAGCCCGCCAGCCAAGCAGAGACCCCAAGTCTGGCTGGCAAAAGTGGAGGGGCCAGACGGACTGTGTTTGGACAGCAAGCGGGACTTAACATCTGGAACGTTATAAGTTAACAGCTCTACTCAGAGAGTGGGAAGGCTGGAGGAAAACGGGAGGGAGAGTTGCTGAGCCTCGGACAACAGAGCTCAGCTTGGCTGGGAACAAAGGCGCTTGCCAGCATCATCTCCCTCGCCCATCCCCCAGCCAAAATCCCAAAGGGAACCAATTCCTGCCAGGGAACTTGCTTGCACCTCGCAAACACCGAACGCTGTGCTTCTGCGGATCCATCCCTCAAGCAGCGGGTCTGACTCCCTCCCGGTGCCACAGGGCCCCTCCTGAAGCGGATCACCAAAGGAGAAGAAGGAGAAGCGAGTTGAGCCTGCCACTCCCGCCCCCATGCACCTTGCCTATCCACCCCAGCTAATACACCAGTTCCCCAGCACCACAAGCCTGGCAGCGTGCAAGTAGCCCAGACAGGCCACGCCACCCCATAGTGAATCCTGCCCTTAGGAGAGGGGAAGAGAAGGTACACACCAGTCTGACTGTGGCCCCAGCGGTGTGCTGGGGGCAGACATCAGGTCTGACTGCGGCCCCGCCCACCAACGCAAGTTATTCAAGACAGTACAGGGGAAGTGCCCTGCAGGTCCACACCATTCCAGGGACTATCCAAAATGACCAAACTGAAGAATTCCCCTCAAAAGAATCTCCAGGAAATAACAACAGCTAACGAACCGATCAAAAAGAATTTAAACAATATAATAGAAAGTGAATTTAGAATAATAGTCATGAAATTAATCGCTGGGCTTGAAAACAGCATAGAGGACAGCAGAAAACCTATTGCTACAGGGATCAAGGGACTAAGGAATAGTCAGGAGGAGGTAAAAAATGTTATAAACGAGCTGCGAAATAAAATGGAAACGACCACGGCTCAGATTGAAGAGGCAGAGGAGAGAATAGGTGAACTAGAAGATAAAATTATGGAAAAAGAAGAAGCTGAGAAAAAGAGAGAGAAAAAAATCCAGGAGTATGAGGGGAAAATTAGAGAACTAAATGATGCACTAAAGACAAATAATCTACGCATAATTGGTATTCCAGAAGAAGCAAGAGGGAAAGGTGCTGAAGGTGTACTTGAAGAAATAATAGCTGAGAACTTCCTGGATCTGGGAAAGGAAAAAGGCATTGAAATCCAAGAGGCACAGAGAACTCCCTTCAGACGTAACTTGAATCGATCTTCTGCACGACATATCATAGTGAAACTGGCAAAATACAAGGATAAAGAGAAAATTCTGAAAGCAGCAAGGGGTAAACGTGCCCTCACATATAAAGGGAGACCTATAAGACTCGTGACTGATCTCTCTTTTGAAACTTGGCAGGCCAGAAAGGAATGGCAGGAGATCTTCAATGTGATGAACAGAAAAAATATGCAGCCGAGAATCCTTTATCCAGCAAGTCTGTCATTTAGAATAGAAGGAGAGATAAAGGTCTTCCCAAACAAACAAAAACTGAAGGAATTTGTCACCACTAAACCAGCCCTACAAGAGATCCTAAGGGGGACCCTGTGAGACAAAGTACCAGAGACATCACTACAAGCATAAAACATACAGACATCACAATGACTCTAAACCCGTATCTTTCTATAATAACACTGAATGTAAATGGACT